CAGCTGAGGTTGTCATTCATGTGTACACCCAAGTACTTGTAGCTGGAGACCACTTCCACCGCAGATCCTATTATGTTCAGGGGGGTGTAGGTGTTTTTGTTCCTTCTGAAGTCCACAATCATCTCCTTTGTCTTCTTCACATTGATGTGAAGGTTATTCTCTCTGCACCAGCTCTCCAGGTGTTCCACCTCCTGCCTGTAGCTGGACTCATCATTGTTTGTGATGCATCCCACCACCGCTGTATCATCTGCAAACTTTACAATGTGACAGCCTGGATGGGTAGCTGCACAATCATATGTGAGCAGAGTAAACAGGAGGGGGCTCAACACACATCCCTGAGGAGAGCCAGTGCTGAGGGTTATGGTGGAGGAGGAGAGGTTGTGGATCCTCACTAACTGTGGTCTGTTTGTTAAAAAGTCTAGTACCCAGTTGCAGATGGAGACTATGACTAATTATGTGAGTCAAAAGGACGTTGGCTTTCCTTTTAAAACTCTTTAATGTCATTGGTGTCCTGATGACACCAAGCAGTATTGTATCTCCAAATCTAATGAAAACTGCATTAGCAGATTTTTTTAAGGGACATAATTGAAGTTCTTAATTTGGAATGTGTTTGTGTGGGATGAATAGAAAAATGCTCCATCCAGACTAGATGGAGCTGCCAGAGGCTCAATGAGTTTATAATGACATGGTTTTTTTTTTGTTTGTTTTTTTTCCACTGACCAGAAAGCTGCTATCTGAACAAGCTCTTTGTCAAACTGGGCTCTCATGGCAGTGCACGGGCTGTGCAGGTTGTCTCAACTGTTTCACTCTGCCGGGATAGATCAGTGCTTCTTAAACTTTTCATAATGAGTACCACCTGATACAATATTAGGCCTTCCAAGCACCACCATTATGGCAGATATGAAAACAGTAGTTCAAGCTCCGCAAGCTTGAACTACTGCGTCTTCAAGCTGATTTTGAAACATATCTGACATAAATGAGCAAACTGACCAATGTCTTTGAACATCTTACATAAATAAACTAATGCTTAATTTTCCTGTTTTTATTCCTGTAATAAATCTATTTGGCTGAGAGACACACACCGAGGCCTTCATCCTTGGCTGGACCCTTCTTTAGGTGAGAGTTTGGCAGTGATGGCCAAAAACACCCAATGAGCTTGAGGTCCACTGCAGAGGATGGGTCCCAAAATTCAAACAACACTAAAACCTCTTTGTTAAATTTAAAGATAAGTAAATAATAAATCAGAAATAGATCCTGTTTAACTCTGAATGCTAGGAAACACCTTGTAACTGTGACCTTCCTTCTCTCCATTGACTACGGTGACATTATTTACATGAACGCTCCTACAAGCACCATACTCTGCAGATGTTGCACACTGTCTATCACCGTGCAGTAAAATTCATAACTGGCTGTAACTACTCACTGGTTAACTGGACATCAGTAACTTAACGCAGACTCCCCCACTGGAACATTTTCATCTTTAAATCACTTCTTGTTCTGCTGCCTTCATACATCTCCTCCTACATGTCTCTGCGTGAGTGCAGCTACAGCGTGCGCTCTCAGGACATTATTACCTGCAGTGTTCCCTCAGTGAGAACTGAACTAGGCAAAAGGGCCTTCTCCTACTCCGCTCTTGTTTCCTGGAATATCGTGCAAAAAGACCTGAAGTTCTCAACCTTGATCTCTCTAAGTGGCTTCAAACATCTGTTAAGTTCCTGACAAAAGCCAATGCAGACATGTTCCTGTTTTTAGTTTTATACACCGCCTTATAATCTAGCTGGGGTTTTTTTTTCCGCTACTTTTTCCTTTGACTGTCCTTTTGGTTGTCATTTTATTTTAATTTGTAAAAAAGTAAAAATTAAATTAAATTTGTATGCTTCTTTTATGATTGTCTATTGTTGTTGTTATCCACTGTTGTCATCATTCTTTGTTGAAATCAGGTCTCTCTTGTAAATGAGTCCCGAAGGCTCAATGGGATTAACCTGTATAAATAAAGGTTGAATGAATGAATTTGTTTTTTAAACAAAAATTTGCAAAGATTTACATATATAAATTGTCCAAAGGGCCTTTTTGTTGGTAGTCTGTTATTAACTTTACATATAATTCCACATCCTTAATAAAATGAAGAAAGCATGGCGTTTTGTTAGTAAATTTACATTTATGAATGAAAAATTTGGCCAAAAGAATTAGCAAGTTTATTTAAAAAAAAAAAACATTTAGCATCCTTTCTTGGGAATCTAGAAAAACAAATTAAAACATTTTCCCAAAGTAAGGAAAAGTTCCTTAAAATATGGTTATTAATAAACCTGCTAAACTCCTTCCAAAACCTGCGTGTGAAAGGGCAGTGCCAAAAAAAGATGTGTCACAGTTTCTGGAAGGTCACCACAAAACTACAATCAGTATTTTTGTCTCTTTTAGATTTTATCATATAATGTTTAGTTGGGTAATTTTTATGAAGAATTTTAAATGACACTGTTTGTTCATGTAAGTGTTGTGTTCATCTGTACAGTATACTCCAGCCTTTTGTTTGTTGTATACTTATCATTTGCTTTAATAAAGATTATTAAATAAAAAATATATACATATGTTTTTTTCCACTTTATTAGACATATTTGGACTGATGCGACTTGTACAGCGGTGCGACCTTTATGGCGGCAAGTACGGTAAGCTAAAATGCTCTAAAAAGCTGAAACTGTGTTGTTAAAGCTAACAGAAGTAGAATGCTTGTTAAAAGCTAACAGGTGCAAAACACTAGCTGAAAACGAAAAGGAACTAAGAGGAGCTAAAAGCTACATGTGGCGGAAAAACTCACAAAATGTTAATAGTAGCAAAAGACTAGTTTAAAGCAGCAAAGACTAACTAAAAGATAAAAGTAGTAAAAGGCTTGCTATGTTTTAAAGAAATGGACAATTAGCAAAACTTTTTTATTTGCTATGTAATGCTATTAATAGTGAGTTAGTCTTTAAGAGGTTAAATAAAAAACTGTTTATCAATCTGACTATTTTTAAATGTTGTTTATTCATATACTGATGTAATGCACTGATAGACTGAAAATAATGAGTTAGAACTTCAAAGAAATTCATATTTATTAGAACTACAATTCGACATGTATCACAGACACAAAGCTACAACCCGGTAGTAAATGAATAAATACTGACAAAGTGTAGAAGGAGTTTTTGATAAAAGCTCCATCAGGATAATAAAACACCAACGTGGTTGTTTTCAAGTTCCACCCTATTGTTAAAAATAATTTTTGATCTTGCACAATGCCAAAAATTAAATCATTTCAACTAATGAAGCCTTAAAATGGTTTAAGTGCCATTTTATCTTTTTTCAATATTCACTAAATGGGGATTTTGAGTGTACTAATAAATGCCTCCACCTACAAACTCATCTTGTTGCCCACACTTGACTAACATTTGCTCTCTGGCCGAACCCAATGTTGCATTAATCGAGCTAGAGTGTTTTAAACGACATTACTGCATGCAAGTGGAAGCATCAAAACTCTAAAGCATTCTCCTTCTTTGGTAATTAAAACAACCAACCAAACAAAAAGCATTGGTCCATTTTCATCAGCTTATCTGAGGTCAAGTCGCCAAGGCAACGAGTCCAGAAGGGGTAACCCAGACATCCCATTACCCAGAAACATTCTCCTGCTCCTTGCTGCATAAGCAATGGATGTGAAGTGGGTCATTGTTGGAATGGCCAAAATCTCTGTTAGATGGAAACAGGAGCTGTAATCGTGCCAAGATGAAATGAAAATTCAAGCGACATTTTGCCTAAATGTTGCGGTATTACATGACAGACTGGTACTAGGAAAAGAAATGTGTTGCTTTGGGCTGCTTGTAGAGTGAAATGTGTAGACTCACTCACATACACACGTTTGTAATCATGTCTTCACAGTTCTGATGGTAAAAGTCACATTACTTTAACTTAATGTTTCTTTTTTTATGTCAATTTCAAAAAGTGTCACCAGTCTGTCACGTGGTCAGAAATCCTCTGAATATTCCCATCACTTGTAACGCTCCACCCTGCAACTTGTTGGAACGGGTTCTTCCAAAAGTCTTCCTGTGCTTCAGGAAAATCCTAAAAAATCTTCTGCTTTTGTCAAAGACCCACAAATCTTTTCAGGTTGAGCAGAGTCTTTGCCTTTAAGATCAGACCCGTGTTCATCCATCATCACTGTGATGTTCTCGGCCTTTACAAGACCGTAAGCGGACTCTTGGATTCATCGAGGACCGGAATCAGTTTGTGCTGTTATTGTTGCCCTCCTCTGCAGCAACAAACTTGATCTCAGCATTGGCAGTCCTGGAGGCCATGCTGCTATCTCTGACCTTGTGCTTAAACAGGAACGGGAACGTTTTCTTGAAGGACTTCTGAAAACTGGCTCCCATGAAGCCATAAACGATGGGGTTGACCGATGAGTTGGCGTACGACATGCAGTTGGCCCACGTCTTGATCTTGTACGTTGCATAGTTCGGTTGGTAGTTTGGATGGAAAGATTGGAACAGGACAAAGATCTGGATTGGACCCCAGCAGATGGCAAACAGGAGAACGATAACGACGACCATCTTGGAGACTTTGCTCCTGATACTGATTGTTCTCTCAGACAGAAGATTGACCTGAGGAAAAATCAAAAAGGAAGGGTGAACTCTTAACTTGTGACTCAGAAACTGCTCACATATCGATACACTGACCTTGCAACTAGCAAACGTTAGCAAAAATATTTGCATTATCTATAAATAAGACAGATATTTGGAAATTGCTGGATTCAAGCTCAATATTTTCTTTGTATCTTTCCAGAAAATCTTATAAAAGTCCCATTTTAAATTCCTAAAATACTCATTTGCATTAACAACTCGGTCACCTATGTGTCTGCATGTATTTAAAACTTTTTTTTTGTTATTTTTTCATTTTATTTACAGACGAATTTAACAAATACAGAAAAAAAATTTGATAATGGTGAAACAAAACTCTTAAAGTTAAAACCGTAGCTTTGTACTGAAGCTCTTTTTATTGTAAACTAAAAGTAACTGCCATATAAATAAACTTAATTGAACTGAATTAAACTTTAATTTTATGATTTTTTTTAATCTGTAAATTTTACTTTAAATAGGATCTTTTTCTTCTCAGTTTTTTAATTAAACATATAATAAAAAAAATGGAGTTATAAAATCAATTAAGCAGCACTTTTCACCCAGCAGTAAAATTGTGACTTTTGAGGATGCAATTATCCTCTTAATTTATGTTTAAGATTTTCATCAATTCTGCACAAAAAGTGTTAAACATTTAAATAAAGCAACTCAAAATTAAAAAAAGGTAATTTTTTAAGGAAAACCGTTACTTTTTTAACGGCCAATAGTTTGTAGCACTGATTCACACTCATGTCTGTGATTTCAAAATAAAACAAACCGAGTTCATACCTGATAGTTGTTGTCGACGGGCTCTACTGTGGGCTGGCCGACTCTTTTCACCATCAGAGAGTAGCAGAAAGAGATGGTGAGCACAGGCAGCAGGTAGGCAGCAATAAACTGGTAGAGGATGAACGCTCTCTCGTGTGTTTTCGAGGGAAACCTCTCCATGCAGTACTGTCTCGGCCCATACCAGTAGCCTTCCTCTATACGCTGGTACATTAAAATTGGGGTGGACAGTATGAAGGAACCTGAGCAGGACACGTGTGTTAAGTTTAAATCATGCATCTTGGTTATTAAGTAAGAGGATGACAACATACCAATCCAAATGCAAACGCTGACAATCATGGCTACTTTTGGGGTGCGGTGGCGGAGAGATTTGAGTGGGTAGACGGTGACGTAACAGCGGTCCCCACTCATGGCAGTCAGGGTGATGCACGTGGCTTGCACTGTCACCTGGCAAATAAAACAAAAAGAAACTTTTTCATATGCCGTATTTTCCGGCGTATAAGTCGCTCCAGAGTATAAGTCACATCAGTCAAAAAAAAAGCATCATGAAGAGGAAAAAAAACATACATGTCACGTTGGCATATAAGTTGCATTTATTATGTGTCACGGCTGACCTGTTGCATTTATTATGTGTTTATTTAAAGGTCAAAACAGCTTCATTTCACTTGGGTGGTGTGGCGCCATCCATCCATCCAACCATCCATCCATCCATCCATCCATCCATCCATCCATCCATCCATCCATCCATCCATCCATCCATCCATCCATCCATCCATCCATCCATCCATCGCAGCCAGAGCCCATAGCTCTCCAGCGTTCCTCCACCTGCACCTGCTGAGTGAAGTGAGCGTGCACTGGAGGACTCGTCGTTGCAGTTCTTCAAAATTTAAAGTGCCAGTCAAAAAATGCGTTATGCATATGAAAACAAAAAACTTATATAAGTCGCAGGACAAATCTGGGAAAAAAAAAAACAAACAAACTGTGATTTATATGCCGGAAAATACAGAAAAATACAAAAAGTTTGTTAAATGTGTCAAGCTGAGACGTGCATCAAGTTTCTGTTATTGCAGGTGACATCCCAATATTTGTTGTTGTCAAGTTTATTAATATTGATTTTATTTTTGTCTATGAACAAATCTCACAACATTCAGAGTAAAAGAAAAGTTTCAAATGTCACCATCCTAACATATTATTGGGCGTGCATTGCACCACCTTTAAAATAATCAATGCTTCACTGGAGTGGAGGTGGGGAGAAATCCCAGTAGAAGCAAATGTGTTTTCAGAACTAGACTGGAGGAAGCAGAAAGCGGTGGTCAGTGCCGCGGTCTTGTAACCCTGAGGTTGTGGATTCGAGCCCGGGTTGCGTTAGGAAGGGCATCTGGCGTAAAACAATTGTCAAATCTTTCATGCGAGTCCGCTCGCTGTGGCGACCCCTGAAGAAGAAACGTCCTTACTTACTGGAGGAAGCTGAAACATTAATGAGGAAAAAGTTTTCTTTAATCTTTCACAGCACCCACACAGCTCTACAGGCATCATTTATCATGTCAAAACATGGGGAATTGATTTTCCTTTCACACACTGAATGCCTCTTTTTTGATCAGACTGACACTGTTTTGGCACCAGACGCTTTCAGAAAACAGCTGCTTTTCAGACTCCACAGCCCGAGTTGTTCACTGAAAAGCAGAGGTGGTTGTTTTTTAACTTAGATGTAATGTTTTGTACACAGTTCGATAAGTAAGGGAGCGTCCTGCGGTGCTACAGCTGCTAAACTGTCTATGACGAGCCGCAGTTTGAGACATTTTTCTGCCACGGTTTGGTGAAGGGCTGCACTTAACATCACCATGGCAACCTGAACTCACAGCTGATGGACATCTGTTCAGCACAGAACCCGTAATTTATCACATTCAGCGGATTCACTGATTTTATTTCACCACGTTTTTACAACTTGACTTAAACAAATCAACTTTGTTGCACTGCCAAGATCTAAAAGTGATGACTAGTCAGTAAGTCAGCTGAATATGACCAATTAAAGGCTCCGTGTTGATTTCTGGTATTTTATATGACTCTGTTGCACGTTGATGCTGTCAGCTGAGCTGCTAATGGTTAGATAGTGCTGATAGGTCAACTCCTGATTTAAGCTGACACTTCCTGCCACTGGCAAATGCTTTACCCTCCATTTCAGAATGAAACTCATCCGTACAACCATGCTTCATCATTTCTGCCCTGGTCACCACCTGGTTGATTGAAAAGGAACGCACCCAGCGTCACACAGCTCCTTTGTTATTTAGTGTTTATTGAAGAGACAAGAAGGATGCTCAAGAAGCAGGTCAGATAGTGATAATTCATATTGTCAGGCGACTTTGACCATCAGAGCAATGAACAATATTTCAGGGCATCTTCTGTAAAAAGACACATCAAGATGAGACTTCTAGAAAAAAGTTTTAATTAAGATACAAATATTACAACTAATAAAAACCTAATTGTGGTCAAATAATTCCTTCCTGTGTTTTTTTTTTTCAGTATACAAATTTTGATACCTACATACCTGCCTTTATAGGAAGCAGAAGTTAAGCAAGTGTCTTTTTGCTCCAGATTTTCCCTTGATGTTTTTTGGTGGGGTTAATGAGGCTGTACTTTTTTTAATTAGAAAAACAACTTGAATGATAAAGAAGAGGGGAAAAAACTTCAAGGGGGAGCACATTCAAAGAGAGAAGAGAAACACGGGGAGTCTGCATTAAATGTTTTTCATTTGCATACAAACATATCAGCCAATTTCATTATTAATTAACTTCAACGATGCTTCAGAAGGATGCTAATTAAAACTCAAACGTGTGTGCAGGTGGAGAGTTTTCAAACTTTGCAAAGGAAGCTTTCCCGTACACAGTTCTTCTTTTTTCCCAGCCGTCATGCTTTATTATGTGAACATTTTAGAGCTGTAGCTGGATAGTATGTTCAGTCTATGTCCTTCTTTTCTCTGTAATTCCATCTACTTTTCTGTTTTTGTTTTTTGTTTTATCTGCAGCTATGAAGCCATCACCCATTACCTTGAGTTTTAGAGTACCACATCAGGATTTCAAAGAAGAGGATGAAAAACACTGAAAGGGTTCATAAAAGGTTCTGTGCTGAGGAGGAACGAGGAAATCACCACCATTCTTGACATTTCTAGGAGCTTTGTTGCTCTACAACCTTCTTTAATATGTTCAGTGCTTTTTGTCTTCTGCATTTAATATTAAAATAATTAACTTTTGCACATCTTTTTGTTGTCATCAAAAATACTGTTTAGGTTTGTCTAAGAGAATAAAATGCACATTTAAGACAACAAGAACCAGTACTGAACTGCATAATTTAAAAAAGCACTGTTGTATTAAAAAAAAAGATAATATAATAAAAATAAAAGTGTGCTAGTAGAATCCCAGGACTTTCTTTAATATAGTCTCTTAATAACTTAATGGAAAATGTAGTAAATATTTCTAATTAGCATGAATGAATGACTGGAAGCCAAATTTGATTAAGAGTAAGCCTAATGCTTTTGCACTCACTGTCTTTATTTTCACCCGAATGTTTTTAAGACAAATTACACATTTATTTGATCCAGCCCATTAGTTTATTCACAGAAAAACAACTTAAACAATGTGGAGATGATAAAAACATCCCCTCCGTTGGAAGTCTACATCATCTTTTCACCACTTTCATAGGATGATTATTAAATAAACCTTGAAAAGTAGTATAAAACTGCTTGCTCCCTCTGTAAAAAGGAAGAAATACAACAAAATGTTTCCATAGAAAGTAAAAATGTGTAATTTTCTGGTCTCTATTCCTTTTGATTCCTGGTGTTTTTGCCTGCTTCTCCCCTGTTGCTCCCTCATTCTTTGTGACTTGACACGACTAGCTGGCTGTGATCGTGGCTTTTAGTGGACTCCAGTGGTCCAACAGCCAATTACCTCAGACCTCTGTTCATTCTTCACATTTTACAGTTCAACTCACTAATTAGCGTTGAGATACTGGTGAGCCAAACCACAAAAGAAGATTTAATTGTTCATCCTTTATTATTCAAATTTTCAAAGATTTGTATGCAAAGGAAAATCTTTTGGAATGAAGCTTAGCTGGTTGGTTTGTGCACCCACTGACCCTTCCCCATTCCCATCATAAAGTGAGCGCATTAGATAAGACTTCCATAGCCAAGATAATTTATACTATGTTCTTGTTCAAGTTCAAGTTGTGTTTATTTGTCATATGCAAGGTTAACACGGGGTTAACGGTACAATGAAATGCTTAGGATGAGAAAAACTGATTTGTCTTGCTAAAAAAGAAAATCACAGAATAAACAAACAAGAAATACTAAATGCACTTAGGGTACACAAAAAAAATGTTCCAAAAAGTGAAAAAGCAATTATAATATTTACAATGTCCTAAAGAGCGATAGTAAACAACAACATGGTAGAATATAACGGTGCAAGCAGGATGAATTTGAATGAATGAGTATTTCAAGCTTTTTCTATTTCACCTTTATCATGTTTAAGTCATTAACTTCCTACGTATAAGTTCAACCACAAACTTCACCACAAACATTATGTATATATAAATAGTTACAAGAAGCTCATTAATGTTGTTTTTCATCAAACTATCATCATCTTCCCTTTTTTTGCTGTTATCAAGCAGGCGGTGTAAATCGACCTGATTCATCCTTCTGACTGCCCTCCACCTGTCCACATCATGGATGATCAAAGCTTTAGGAAAGGCTTATAAAACCTTGTTGGCTGGAAGGAAAATGGGCCCGTAGAACGTTACTGGATGCTCTTTGCCTTTACCCTTGATCACCTTTTAATTTGAAAGTTTTACCATCTTTCCTGTCAAGTTTACTTCCTGCTGCAGGCTTATCTTGTGGAGGGGGGAACTGCTTTGATTAGCCTGTTTCCACCCTCCATTGTGGTTGCTTTCTTCCTGCCCTGCTGTTTCTATTCTGCCTCTCTTCTGATGGTCTCTCTTCTTGGATAGCTTGCTGGCAGTTTGGGCTCTAAACACGTGGCCCGTTACTCCAATCTTCCTCCTTTGACGCATTCTGGTCATCACTTCATCTTTTTTTGGTCATCTTCACATTTATAGTGCCACTCTATGTCAGTAGTAGAACATCTGTTCTCTTACTCATTGAATAATTGACTTGAGCCGTGTGAAATAAATGTTTTAAACACAGTTTTAATCTCCTGCCACTTATTAAAGATCCAGCCTGGAGGGGAAAAAAAATGGTGACGTTGAAGAAAGAATACAGTTTTTAAGATATCTTGTTGCTACTTTGATTATCACCTGCCAAGGCAAAAAGCAGGTTTGTGACAGTTAGCAAAATATCTCATGAACTAGTTTATACATTTTAAAGAAATGTGCAAAAAGTAATTTTTGGACGTATGTATGCAACAGATTGAGCCAATTCAAGATGGCCACCAGAGCTAAATGACATTCGTTTACACAAAAAGTCACCCAGTTTTACTGACACTGAGCTAAAATATGATGTGGTGGTTCTTGCAGGATCAATAAAGTTCTATCGTATCTTAGCTGATTCTGACCGTTATATTGTGCATAAAGTTATTTTTAAACTTTGACCAAAATGCATGCAAGTCAGTCTTTACTCAACATAAACATACTCTTGCATGAAAGGCTGTGGGTGATATGCATCCCTTCAAGAAGCGTGCAGCTTTTAATTGAATATAAAAAAAATTAACCCAAACAAATAAAAATACTTATCATATAAAATAATAAGTTTAATTTGTTATTGTTCATCACACTTTTGCTTCCTTTTGGATGTGTTAAAATGGATAGTACCAGTGGTGTATCCCATATATATATATATATATATATATATATATATATATATATATATATATATATATATATATATATATATATATATATATATACACACTTTCAAGGATTCAAGGTTCTTTATTGTCATTCGCACCACACGTGGTACATGAGGTGGAATGAAATTGTGTACACAGGCTCCCAATTACATCCAACAAAGTATAAAATGTAAAAGAAAAACAGTAATAAGATCTAAGATATGAACTAAGAAAGACATTAATTAAAAATACAGTAAGCACTAGTAGTACAAAAACAATACGCCGAACAGCAGAACAAACATGAGTCTGTGTGAGCAGATGAGCACGAATGAACACATCAACATGAAACAGATCAGCGGCATGTTCTGATTTTTCTCAGTGATTATTCTGGTTAGAGATTCATGAGTCTAACAACCTCAGGGTAGAAGCTGTTCCTCAGTCTAGTGGTTCTACACTTAATGCTTCTCAAGCTCCTTCCTGAGGGGAGTGGTGCAAAAAGTGTGTGTGCTGGGTGAGTGGGGTCCTTCAAGATGCAGGTGGCTCTCTTCCTGCATCTAGAGGTGTAGATGTCTGTGATGGTGGGGAGACTGACTCCAACAGACTTCTGTGCAGCCTTCACCACTCTCTGCAAAGCTTTTTTTTCTGCAGCTGTGCAGCCTATATATATATATATCACTGGGGCTTTGGTGTATTGTAACATTTTAGGCATGGTGGTGCATTTGGTAGGACTGTTGCCGCCCATAAGTTGCTGGTTGAAGTTCTGACCCTTTCTTGGTGGAGTTGGCATGTTTTCTCCAAACATGTACTGTATAGATTTTGTCTGGGTACACTGATATTGGCTCTGATTTCCTCCAACAGACCAAAAACATGCATGGCTGATGGTAACTAGGTGTGAGTGAGAGTGTGAATGGTTGTTTGTCTCATTTGTCTCTATGTGTCCCTGTGATGGACTTGCGACCTGTCCAGGGTGGTGGGGTGGAGACAAGGAATCGTAAAAATACAAAACTGAGTGGGACTTAAAGTTGGAAGACCTAGTATGAAGGTTGATTGGGAACAGGTGTGGGTGGCAGGCTGACTGGAAGGACACAGAGGAGACTACTGAGGGTAAATGAAAGATGGAACAAAAGTGTCACAAAAAACACAAAAGATCAAAACTGAACAGGAAAAAAAAAAAAAGACGCAAACGACCAAGAAGCACAGATAGGACAACTTAAAACTGCATGAATATCTTAAAAAAAAAAAAAAATCTACAATATCATCCTTATTGATCTAATAATTCTAATTTACATAACCTGGCACATAAGCTTATTAGCCTCAGAAAGATTATTAGCCTCCATATTTTTAAAAAAATGCAAGCAACTGAGAAAATTATCTCTAGTCTCTTGATAATCACTGCAAACTCCAGTCTCCTCAACATTTATTACTAAATGATGATAGATCTGATAAAGAGAAACTCATTAAAGAATTTTCAGGTTGAGATTAGAAAGTGCCAATATGGTGGTTGTATTAAAAGAGAAAGGCAGACTGCATGTGAGTGGACTGTGGGAGAAAAATCTGCTCTGTTTAAACAAGAGAGTTCATTTTTAGACTCCTCACACCAAAGGCATATGAGCCACTAAATCAACAATAGCGTTAGCCGATTTTCAGACTGACTTCCTGAAGTTTTATTCTCCTGTTGTCAATTTGCTCTTGCTTTATTTAAAAGTGATTCCAACGAACTTGATTTTCATTAATGTTTTATCGGTTTGCTCATTGATGAGCACTTTTAGCTGAGTCTCCACATAAAAACAGAACTGAATTGATTGGATTCGTTTGTGCAGTCACGTGCACTAAAAGGGGAAAAAAATCAATTCTTGATTTTTTTTTTCTCAAAGTCCAACTTTAGCTCCTCTTGACACATGAGAAATTACTAAACGATCGCTACAGGAAAAGATGTGGTTTCACCCTGTACATCCAAAGCTTACTTTCTGAAAATATGAATAAAATCTGTTCCGTACAAACAATCACGCAAAAATGAAAGCATCCTCGCTCTGCCTATGTGCTCCATAGCATGCTATGAAAATCATTTGTTTTCAAACAGAGAAGTCTTATATACAGACCTCCTGTCCAGTATTGCTGGCAGCAAATTTATGCTCACAGAATACAGAACTGTTCCCTGAGAATTTACTGGAAGATTTCATCATCTGGCAAGCCACAGGTTGCTGCAACTATGCTATTCCTTCACACCGAGGGTGGTAATGGCAAATTACAACGATACAATCACTTTCTTTTCTCAGGCTCTAATGGCCTTTACTCAACCACAAGAGTGGCGGAAAATGAAGGGGAAGAGAAGGGAATTATATACAGTAAAGGGCCTCTGGTTGAGACTGATCTGCAGCAATGAGGACTTTCAGCCTCTGCAGATGGGGACAAAATGCTATACCTGCCATGACAGATTCCCACTCCCTGAAGGCATCATTGAAGCACTTGGAGTGAACTCCTGCACCCAATCTCAGCCTCTGCTTCAATAGCAGCCTTCCCATGTGCAGTTAGACCTGCTCAAAGCTCTTTTGAAGATGGCGTTGCCATATGTGGGCAATAAATCAGCATTTACAGCAGACCCATTTAAGAGTCAAACTTCTGATTGCTTTTTTTCTTCCTTCTTTGTATCGGCAGCAGTATCAGTCTTGGTAAGTGATGCTTTATTTACAACGTTGCCAAAAGGGATGCATTAAATGGAGACTGATTTTGAGCTCCATGTGGTCATTATGCCCTCATCCAAAGAAACGCACGGCAGTCAGGTAGACAGATACGTTAAACGAGAACGACCTACCTGCAGTTTGGCTTTCAGTGCAAAGTTAAAAGTTTGAAACTAGTGTTCAGAATATTCTTTAAAATGTGGAGAGTGAAAAGTAAAGACAGCTGCAATTGAAATGAATCATGTAAAATGCTTTCTTTTTAAACTTAATATACAATTTTATGCATCATTTGTTTGGACACATTTGCTGCATGAAGATACCATGTAAAAACTTTAATTTCCAGTATCGATCATGTTTAGTGGATTCATTGAAGCCATGATGCAAACCAAAACTCAGAAGACTTGAAGGTAAAACAAAGAAATTAATTTATTAAACAAGAAACAAAACAAAAGGCTGATGAGGCTGCAAAAAAAAAACCTCAAAAGCAGAAACAAACACGGATAAGGAGTGAACAAAGTGACAATGAATTTAAAGAGGCAGTAATGACAGACAACAACAAACACCTGGAGTGATTACTGAATGGGAACAGGTGAGGGTGGTAGGCTGACTGAAATAAACACCGAGTATGCTGCTGAGGGTGAAATGAGAAATGACACAGTGAAAAATAAAATACAAGTAAAACAAATACAAGCATCAGAAATACTTAATAAAAAATAACACAGAAGACATGACTCTTGACAGGAAGCAGAAAGAGTGTGTGTTGCGGCTACAGCATGCCAAGTGCAGCCATCCATGTTTGTCTGAAATAAATCAGCTATGCTCTTCAGTTCTGTAGCTTCTCATATGGAGAAGACTTGAGTGCAGATTGTTCTGGTTTTTCAGAAACACTGAGGTCTCCAAGCATCTCGAAACAATCCACTTTAAAATGTTCATTCCAGTTTGGATGCTGAGGGAAAAATAATCAGTCATAGATTAAGTTTGTGTAGATCTTCAAGAACCGGAAGGCAAAATGTCAAAAAAACAAACACATTGATATTTCTTGGAGGTCAACACTCACCTCATGTCTCTTTCAAATTGATGCAGTTGAACTTTTTTCGTCTTCTAAGCAATTATGTAACGTTACAAACTATGGCTGAAACGGTTTATGGAAAAAAATTAACGATGCATCGTTTTACCTGCTGCAGAAAGGCAACAAATTTGCACATGAAGTTGCCAAAGATCCATCCAGGGAGGGGATAGAGTGTGGCGGTGAAGGGGACGCAGCACACCAGAAAAATGATGTCAGTGGCAGCCAGGTTTGCTAAACAAGGAGGGGAAATTAACCGTGATGTACAATGTGCAGCACAATGTTCTAACACAGTCTCACAAATACACAAGAGAACCAAAACTGAGTCACTGTGTCCACAGCTGTGACTTTCAGGGTGTTTATTGAGTCTTTTTTATAATAATGAGCATAAAAACAGAGAAAAATCATGTTATCATTCAGTTTAAACTGCTGCATACACAATTAAGAAATAATTAAATAAAAGAAAAGTTCTGGCGTGGGTCTACAAACATGTGAAACCAGTGAGATTAAGCCCATTACCAACTCTTCCAGTAGCTTTTATGCACTGTTGTTGTTTTAGTCACTCTTTTCCAATACATACTGTTAATTTTATGCAAGGACAAGCATGTAGGCTGCAGCCACTGTTTTTAACAAAGTTCACTATATAAGTGCATCTAAAAAAAATTAGAATATTGTGAAGAAGTTCCATTTCTTTTGTCAATCATTTCAGAAAGTGAAGCCCATTTATTATTCATTACGCATGGAGTGAAATATTCCAAGCCTTTATTTCTTGTCATTTTGATGATTATGGCTTACAGATAATGAAAAAAGAAAAGTATTCATCTCGGAAAATTATTATTATTAATAAATTATATTCCACAGCCTTTGGCAGTGTGGGCAGGAGTCAAGTCCTGCTGGAAAATGAAATCAACATCTCCATAAAGCTCGTAAGCTGAAGTGCTCTCAAATGTCCTGATAGATGCTGCGTTGACCGTGGACTTCAGAAACCTCATTGGACCAACACCAACAGGTGACATGGACCCAAACCATCACCGAATATGGAAACTTCACACTGGACTTCAAAGCAATGTGGATTCTGGGTTTTTCCACTCTTCCTACTCTGGGACCTTGATTTCCAAATATCATGTTAAATTTACTTTAATGTGAAAATAGGACACTGAACCATTGAGCAACAGTCCAGTTCTTTGTCTCCTCAGCAGGTAAGACACTTCTGACATTGTCTCTGGTTCAGGAGTGGCTTGACTTGAGGCATGAGACATTTGTAGCTCATGTCTAGGAGTTAATCAGCTGATCAGGGTGTGACACCAGAAGTTTACAATATTGAACCTCTTCACAATATTCTAATATTCTGAGACATTGAGTTTTGTTTTTCATTGTCTGTAAGCCACAATCATCACAATTACAGTAAATAAAGATTTGAAATGTTTAACTCTACGTATATGTAAAGAATCTATATAATTTATGATTTTCACTTTCTGAATCTGCTATTAACAGGTTCACAGGCTAACAGGACTAGAAGGTAGTAATAATGGCACCAAGCTGTACCCCAGTGGTTCCCAGCCCTGGTCCTTGAAGAACACCGTCCTGCATTTTTTAGTTGCTTCTCTGCTTTGAGACACCTGATTTGAATGAATAGGTGATTAACAGGCTTCTGCAGAACTTAATGAAGTAATTAAATCATTGAATCAAGTGTGTTGGAGCAGGGAAACAACTACAACATGCAGGATGGTGTTCCTCAGGGACCAGGGTTGGGAACCACTGCTGTATTCTAACCTCCACAGCACTTTTCCACACTGGGAGTTATTTTTGACAAAATGTTCCTTCCCAACACCAGTAACCCATCGCTTGTTTCTGCCTTGGTTGTTTTATTTTGAAAGGATTACAAAGTATAAACCATGGTCACAGGTGAGCTCCACCAAACATTAGACCAGTGAAGACGAAGGAATATAAAAACAACCCAGTGTTAGCAGCAACATATGTGTGCAAACACAAAGCATTTTCATTTACCCTTTATTTATACAGGTAGTCTCATTGAGCCACGAGAACTCATTTTCAAGAGAGACCTGTTTTAGGGAGCAGATGGTGGGGATTAAGGGCCTTGCTCAGGGGCCCAGAGAGGGGAGAATGAAGATGGAGGCAGGTGTGGGTCTTTCACCTTTTCCACCCACATTTTGATGTTGATGGTACCGGGAGTTGAACCTGCGACTTTCCGATCACAGGCCCATCTTCCAACCTCTGCGCCACCACTCCCCCATTTGCACCATCTAAGGCTTTATCAGAGGCAGAACTTGTAGTGTAGTAAGTAGACTACTGCAATTCTCAGACACATTTTTTGTTTTTAACAGAAACATGGGGAGTGGGCAATATAGTCCTAAATTATGAATCAGCTTTTAATATTAGCTCTCTTTAAAATTAATGGTGTAAATAACAATTTATATCAGTACTTCTTTCTCTCTCGGGTTTGAAAATAATTGATAATGCATATTCTGGAAGTGGGGGTATTTGAGAAGTAATGATTAGAACTTATTAGGACAAAGTCTAACTCAGAATAATGTCAGACATTTGATAGCATCATCACAACAGGTTGTGTTGTTGTTTCAGTCACTTCTCGTGAATATAATGTCGAGTACCCAAAGATTGCTTCAGAATAAGAATGTGTTTAATTGATGGTGATGAGCTGTAGGTGAGTTTTTAGTCAAATAAAGATCAACACTGCTGACTGACTGCGCCTCTACACCTACACACACAGATGCTTACAATGTCCTTAAGGAGTGCTTGATTTAAATTCACGCTGCCAACCAAACACTGGAAAACAAAAACCGGTACTTGTTATTGAAGATCAGATCAATCCGAACCTGGCTCTGTGGCTCTTCCGTGTTGATCCATTCTGACAAATGTGCTGCACACGTTCCCTGTTTGTTTTAATAGCTGATCTAATCACGTTGTAGTCACTGAACCGTGATGTTGAAGGGCCTGGACAGATGGTGCAGGTGCTAATCAAATGAGGCTACGTGTGATTTGATATTACAGTTTTCAAAGCTGTGGCTTTGGGATATTCATGCTAAAAATCATGTCAACAAACAAACAAGGAAGCCAAGTTCCTGCAGTAAACCACAGATCTGCAAACATATTTGTTTTCTTTTTATGCATTTTTCCATTTGTATGTGATCTGCATTTAGTGTGCGGTTCTGTGGGTTTAAACTGAGTGAATCTATCCCCTGTGCCTCAGCTGAAATCACAGCTCTCCTGAACTCGGATCAATCTGCCAGGTGTCACATCTGTGTGTTGTAAATACCAGAAGAGGAGGTGGATGTAACTCCTTTGTCCTCTGTTGTTGTAGTTTTATACTAAAGTATAAGTAGTGTTAAAAACAAAAACTAACAATCCCTGGCAGAAACTGTAATCATTTCTGAAGTAGATGCAACTTTAAGGAAGACGCTGCTCTGTGGTATCAAAAAGAGTTGGAGCAGCGTCTATAGAACACATAATAAACACAAACAAGCAAATCTTTTCTCCGCTAACCTGAATTATAAATATTCTTTATTTGTAACAATCAGGAATAGCCTGTTTAAATGTATATTTTTATATTGTGTCTTAAAAACTTGTTGCAGTTTTTTGAGATGCAGGACACATCTGGAAATCTTCCTCTAATGTTTCATCTCCTGATTTTACACACAATGTTTGCTGTTAGGAATCTGTGTAGCAATGCTCCAAACTGAGCCAGTTTGAGTAGTTTTGAAATTTCATGCAATCCATTAAACGTCCACTTTCATTAAGAAAATCCATACTGTAACCTTTATGTTAGTAAAAACTGACCACTCTTCACACAAGTAGAACCAGATAACTTAACATTTGGGGAGATTTTTATTTTTTTGACAGTGTTTGGAGGATTGCATTTGATTTCCGAGGGCTGTCAAAGTGTGTTTGCCTAAAAAAAGTGCATGAAATTAATGAGTCATTCAGAAACTTGAGGGAATTTTATTATATAACAGCCATCACTGAATGTAAAATGTCACTCTCATCATCAGAATCAGTCATCACCAATTTACTATAAACAAATATGTGTGTTTCAGACTAAACCAACAACAAAAAAAAAGGATCAAGCTGACTCATGTTTCGTGATGGGGGTGCATCAGTAAAGAATGAACAAAAGTCGGGGCACACTGCCACAAAACATATATATTGATGTTTCATTTCAGCTTGTGTCTTCACCAGGTCAAACGTACGAGGCTGCATCTCTGTTTATTTGGCAGCAAAGACCCTCTTCAAGGACATTCAAGCTTTTTTCAAGAAAATACAAAGCAATTTTCTGCACTCAACACAACTGTATGAATGGAGAAAAAAAAAAAAAAAGATATGCACTGAAGACTGACTGCAATCCTGATCTGCTTCCAGTGGGTGGTGTGGATGATTTTGAAACAAATGCAACAGGACTGTGGTGTCAAAAACTTATTTGCATAATGATTTTTGCACTCAATAGGACAAAGTAACACCTAAAAATGCTTCATCACTTAGCATCATTTGTGCTAGGAATAGTAATAAGCTTTACCAAACTTACTTTTTAACAATTGTAGACCTAAATATTAGGTTGATCAGATAAGTAAATGTAACATTCACTGCCTTTACTTTTAATATTTGCACTTTTATATGATTTTAACATGGATTCAGTGTTGCCCCGCACTCTTTTCTTCATTTTGATCTTAAGTCCCTTTTACAAATGATTAGAAATCAAAAATACACACTTGCCAACTTTTGCTCACCTATGTAGAAGTTGGTGGCCGTCCGCATCTGTCTGTGTTTGGAAATGACATAAATGACCAGAGAGTTTCCCACCAGTCCGACCAGCATGATGAGGGAGAAGAACAGAGGAACCAGCCAGGCGTCGGTGAGGAAAGGATGCTCATTTCCTTCCTCCTCTGCACCGTATGAATGTTTTCCCTGAGAGAAGTTTGCTTCGGATCCGTTGATCCCAACCAGCTCGGTGGAGTTCCACGGCTCCTCGAAGGAGTACATGGTGTCGGAACAGTGGGTATCGTTGCAAGAGAAGTGAGAGAAAGACTGAGGGGAGCAGGTGGAGTGAGGGGTAGAGGCAGAGACGGCAATTAAGGGGTGCACAATGTGTGCAGTATGCTTTCTCTTGCAAAGCAGGAAAGACAACTGATGAAATGAAGCAAGAAAATATTAAACAAATTATGGAAAGTGTCCAAAAAGAGTTGGAAAAAGAAGAAAGTATGATTGTTGTAGACCGCAAGAAGAAAGTTAAAGAGGCAGCAAAAAGCTCAAAAGAAAAAATAAAGGGCTTAGACTAGAGAATACTGTTAGATTAAAAAAAAAAACTTGCAGGATAAAACAAATAAAACAGGATCAGACTGACAAAGTGTCTTCTAAAACTGCAGCAAAGTATTCATTCTACTGGAGCCTACCATGGAGAGCATCTGGGTTTGAATCGGACAAAGAGTCTTTTCCTCAGCGCTAGATGAAATAAATCTCCACACTAACAAGCAATCATAACACCCCTGCAAGATTTTTAGAGTTTCTGTTTGTGAGCTAAGCACAGACAGCAGAGCTTATGTCAAGATGCAAACAGGCGTCTTCTCTGAACTCAGTTACAGCTGTAAAAAAAATCTCCGCTAAGCTTATTTAAACCTCTTTTTGTTCCACCGATGTTCTTCCCGGTGAGATCCGAGCCTTTTACCATTTAGGAAATTTGCATTGTTGTGAAAAAAAAAAAAAAAGAATAACTTGATCATTCAGGGACGCACAAAACGCTGGTCAGCATAAGAGTCAAGGTTTGCTCTTCAACTTGGACAAAACTGTGCCTGGCAAAATCCTTGGTTCCAACAAAAGGAATTAACCTCAGGTGTCGCTCACTGTTCATCGTCCGAGCGGAGCTTTGTTGATCTTTGTGAACGCTTCAGCAGAAATCACAGAGAGCGGAGGGAAGGAGATGCTGGCGGCTTTATAGAATGAGCAAGAGCAAGGACACACAGGCGCATTAGCGAGGGGAGGCACACACACACACACACAAAACTCATTGCATGTGGGCTGGTGCATGACTTTAGGATAAATGTCTTAATGTTATGGTCTCCTAGCAACAATATCCCTTCATCCAGTTTTTATAATTGCCCCCCAAAATAAAAAAATAAAAAAAACATAACCAGTGCTCCTTATCTTCCATATAGAATTTGAAATATTAGCATATACATTTATCTTTTTTTTCCGGTCATGGTGCGGGTGCCCATATCCAGTGGTCACAGTGCAACAGGTGGGGGACACCCTGGACTTGTCTCCAGTCCATCACAGGGACGCACAGAGACCAACGAGACAAACTCAAACTCGCATTCACACTTTCACCCGCACCTATGACAATTTAGAGTTTCCAATCAGTCTAACATGCATGTTTTTGATCTGCGGGAGGAAACTGGAGGACCCGGAGAAAACCCACGCATGCACGGAGAGAACATGTAAACTCCACCCAGAAAGGTCCCCAGCCAGGATTAGACCGGTGACCTCTTCACTGAGAGGCAACAGCTCTACCGACCGAGACACCATGCCGCAAATATTAGCATATATTATTACGAATATTAGCCTATAAGAAGCATTTTTTATTTATTTTCAAACCAAAGTTCTTTGGGGTCGAGATGGGGCAGAGGCAGCGCAGCCGACCCGGGACCCGAGAGCCCCAGGCTCAATCCCAAGCCATTCCCACATGTCATGGTGTCTCTGAGCAAGACACCCAATCCCCAATTGCTCCCCAGGCGCTCACATAGCTGCCCACTGCTCCACCTGGGTGTATCCCTGGTGCGATAGGTTAAATGCAGAGAACCATTTTTTTCCATTTTCCCTTTATTTATACAGGTTAGGGGCCTTGCTCATGGGCCCAGAGTGGGGCGAATGAGGGTGGGGGTAGGTGTGGGCGCTTCACCTACCCCACCCACATTTTTTTTTATGTTGTCGGTACCGTCTTGAACCGACGATCTTCTGATCACAGGCCCACCTTCTCTAACCTCTGCGCCACCACTCCCCTCGACCAATTTCAAACCAATTTCACCATTGTGTGGAAACATATGATGACAACACATAGCGATTATTTTATTATTAACACAACAATAAAAGCACTTTAGGGGTTTCTCTACTGATATACACTAAACATTCTATGGTTGGACTGAAGTGACAACTTACATCACTGTACTTGTAAAAAAAAAGAGCCAAACTTGTTTCTGGTGGGAGATAAACTCCACCTGGATGACATCAGCTCAGTTCATGGTCTTTGAATTTCAGAAGCTTCAGGTTCTGCCGAAGGGAGCCAGTTTTCAATTGGGTTAGGTTCAAATTGAATATTTGCTTTTGTGTCCTGTTCGCCAATAATGAGTGCAGACCTCCTGCAGGCCTGCTTAGATCTGAATGTAATGCAAGGTGGGATGAGAAGTTTGACACCATTGTCATCAGTTTTGAAAAAGTAGGACTCTGGGTTAGGAACGAGCTGCTTCTTCAGGGGGAGCTATATACCGTAAGGTCTTGGTGGTGTCAGTATGATATGAATGCTGTACAGGTCTATGAGGAAGAGAGAGCACACCTGAAGGTGAAGCTGTCAATATAACATTTAACCAGTTTTCTAACCCTTGTCTAAGGCCATGACCTGTGAGTAGTGACTGAAAGAATTTGATTGTGTATATAATGAGGTTTCTCTAAAGGATGACTGGGCTTACCCTTTGGGATAAGGTCACTCATTCAGGGAAGGGGTACAGAATAAAGTTGCTGATCCTTGTCGTCCCGAGAAGACGAGGAAAAAGGCTCTCCAGACATTTCCTACAGAAAACCTCTGCATACAAGATGTTGGTGCAGACTTCAAACTTGCTGCAGAAATGACAGTAAATCTCAGTTTTTCTGGGAATGCCTCAATGGGGGATGGTTCTGTTTAGAGGGTGAAGATTCAGCTAAGGAAAAGGAGGTGTAGAAATGGCAGCTCATACTGTGGCCCCCCTGTCTCAAATTAGTAGCAGAAAATAAATGAATAGATTAGATTTTACATATAAATACATTTATTTCAAAAATCAAAGTTACAATCTACAAAATACATGGACAGGTCTCAAAATAACAATATTCCCCACAATGCTAACTTATCCAAAAAAAAAAGAGAGTGGAAAAAGACAACAAAATAGGCTCTTTGCTTGAAGATTATGTACACACCACTGGAACAGCATGTCCTGACAGGTGAAAGTATCCTTGTCTCAAGCATCTTGTTTAGAAGCATGCATGCCATTTTTCCAAAGCCAGAGTAAGAAAGTGGATATGTCTTTGTAGATGGGGACAATCTTGAGCACATGGTAAATTATTGATTAGCCTTCAGGCAGAACCTCACACAAATTTGGGGAGAGAGCGAGAATGAACACAAGTGAGCCAAACTACAGATCACATGGTGGAAGGGTTAACTAATATTTGCTACTCATAAATGTTTGTGTGTCTCTCTATAAACAACATATAGAAACCAGTGGACATATTTTAATAACAGTTTTGATAAATAGTCATTGGATATCCATCTACAACTGAGCAACTTTTGAAGTAAGTCCAATTCAAGATGGTCACCACAGCCAATTAAACTTAAAATACAAACAAAACACAAAAATGTCTATAACTCCATCAATTTGACAGATACTGATCTAAGGTTTGATGTGTGGTGGCTTAGACTGATTCCCAATGGATATCCTGAGTGCAAACAATTAGCACAAAAATATTTGTTTAAAAAATTGACATGAACTATATGTTACTTGTATATCCATGTTACATGTATTAGAATGAGTCTGTAATATTAATGAAGTGGAAAGTAATAAGCAGTGGAGCAGAATAAATGATGGTGCGGTGAACGTCAGTGCTCTGCACGAGTTCTTTGGACAGCTGCCTGCTTTTTCCATCAATGACTCAATCGGACATTATTAAGACTTCTAGGAATATGGCTGAGTAAACTCTGCTAAAAAGTCTGACTAATTCATTAATTTGCATATTCATAGACAGCTCCCATTATTAACGTATCAAACATTTTAAGGGCTGCAGTGAAAGTGTGAAAATAGCTTAAGAGCTCCAGAATTAAACGCTTCATGTGAGCCGAGAACTGAACTGCAAAACTCCTCCGCATACTACATATGGCTTTTAAAGGTGTCTATAATATAGACACTGTGGTCCATCCTGTCTGAGAATGATAAAAGGGAGGAAGCCAAAGTAAGGTTGATAGAAGGCACTTTTAGAAAAATGAAGAACAATCAGAAATCGAGGTTAATGGCATCAGATTGCATGACCCTGTTGATTGTACGGGCTCGACCCTTTTAGTGTGGAAGAAAGCTTTCACTTCTTGTCCTTCAGAACTTTGTACAATGTTTAGTTTTTAAAAAACTTCAGAATTTATTGTTTGTTGTACTAAAAACTAAGTTTGACTGAAGTGGTGGTGAAATTGGTAAAGTTTGGCCATAACATCGGGAATCCTTTTAGGCATTCTCATTCCTATACCTGCTTGATTTTCAGTGAGTCCATCTCCACTCACTCACTGTCAGACGGGTCATGCTTCAGCTCTCTGATGCATTTTGCAAAGTAAAACATAATAAAAGTGTACAGATAAATCATTGTGCCACAGGCTTGTGATTTCAATCCAACACAATATGTCAAGCAGAGTTTATCAGATTCTGCCCCTTCTGGCATAAATCAAAATCCCCAGTTTGTTGCTATAAAAAAAATCATATAGCAGTCTGTCCAACTTGACCAGTTCATGTTAAAGTGTTTCTGTTTATTTTCTACGGTGTTCATAAATGTTACATGTCATCACTTACTTGCTCAACTGAGCTGGAACTGCATAACATCAGCAAATGTAAGGTTCAGCATTTCTTGAAGGAATGCTTATCACTTTATACCAAGATCGTCTTACGCTGACAACAAACAGTTTTAATCAACCCTCATAAATAACATTATGTGCAATTGTGTGCGATATTGTGGGGTCGTGCAAGGTCTGAAAGCACTCAGTGAAT